GCTTCGCGCGCCCGTTCGTAGGGTGGGTGGATGAATATTTACATAGCACTCATATGAGAAAGAAAATTCGACGCTCGATCGTTGTGCAATTTAAACTATAGTCATTTAGGCTATCCAAATTAATTTCCGTAAAGACTTCATCATCGCGTAGTACAACTCGTCAGAGGGTTGCGAGAGAAAATTATAACGTCGCGTTCCGCAGGTTGATTAAGCACGAAATGCGGTTATCCCAAATGAGATCTTGATTATCATCGCGTGGTTATTATTATAGCGGTAAACAGAAACCCAATTCCTAAACACCTCTATGAATCAAGCGCAAAATCACGAGGATAAGTAAAAAACAGTTTAATAAGAGAACGATAAGGTCGCGGCAGAAGCTCGATAAATAAAAAAAAAAGAAGCAGCCAAAAGAGTGCTAAAATTAATTGTTTTCGTGCTTCGCAAAAGCCGCAGAGTGCGTGCGGGGCTCGTATAAGCACACCACCACCACCACCAACAGCAGCGTTATACGAGCTAGCGATATTTCGGGGTGGCTAAAAGCGTGAGGCGCGCGCGGAAAATTAAAATAATGGCCGATGAGCGGTAATGGCCTCGCGTATACGTATAGCCACGCAAAGATAAGTGCGGTATACGTGTATACGGAGAGAGAGAGAGAGCTTGTTGCTTTTTCTGCGGGTAGGAGGACTCGCAGTACAGAGAGAGAGTGCGTATCCGCGTGAGTATAAAAAGCTCTAGCACGCAAGAGAGAGAAAGCGGATTAATTAAAAGCTCGACGCGCAGCTCGTTCGCTATATATATGTTTATGTGTACAGCCGCACGCGAGTTATCTTCAGTCGTTGGATGTAATTGTTCGATAGCGTTGCCTCTCTCTCTCAGCCACACACAGGGAGGAGGAGGGAATAAATTTACGAGCGGATACTTTTGCCGCAAATTTCGAGCTGAGTCGCGGAGGAGAGAAACAGAGAGATCAATGGGGCGCGATTCGCTTTGCATAAATCGCGCGACTCTCGGCTGTTCGGATGTATACGATCCAAATGAGAGAGAAGAAACGTATTACACGACTTTGAATGTACGAATCTCTAAACACCTCGACAGAGAATCGTGTTTACTCCCGTATACAACCGATTGAAATCCTCCCCCTTTTTGCGCTTTTTCCTTTCGGGAGCCCGTCATAACCCTTAATCTCGAACGAATATCCGGCAGCAGAGGTAGAACGAAGGTAAAAAAAACAAACAAACAATCGCGAATCTCGCGCGCTACAAAAAAAAGTACCGCGTATACGCGTCGTCGCGCGCTTTGAAAATCGCATCCCCCGTAAACTTTCGCTCGTTCCCGCGTTGGATTTCTCTCTCGTTCCCTCCGTGTTCGCAAGTTTACGTGCTTAATGAGTCGCGAACTAACGCGCGCGCGCGCGAGGATTAAAAGCGGCTTTTTGTTTCCTTTTAGTTTAGAGTTTCGCGCACGAGGGTGACGAGGTATCGCGCGCGCCGAAACACCGGGTTAAATTATGCATACACGCGCGAAAACTGAAATTACCCAGTTGCGCGTATAGGAATAACAAAAACAAAGAAAAACTGGGAAGCTATATTTGGAGTTTATATAACGGATAAAAAAAGGGGGGGCGACGCGACGTTGCTTGGAAATGCACGCAAGTTATCAGTTACGCGAGTTCGCCGCGCTGATGGGATAAAATTAATTACGCGCGAGCGCGAATCATTTATCCACTGTGAGCAGGGGGGGATTCGATTAGAGAAACAAATGCTTCGAGGTGTACATATAATGCCTGTAGCTGTGTGGCGAGGTAAAAACCCGCACGTATTAATCAGTGTTTACAAGAAAGTGCGGGGTACAACAAAAAAAAAGAACAACTAGAGTATAGCTCAACACAGAGAATACACGCTTTATCAAGGCGCTCGTATACCGATAGCATCGACGAGCGAGCGACTCGATCCACGAGTCGAATTTTGTGGCTCTCGTCCTTGAGCTCGTGGGCACATAATACAATCAACGCATGCGTATGACGACGCCGCTAAATAGAGGAATCGACGTAGCTCTCGCGTCGTCGTCGTCGTCGTCAATTTGTTATACGCGTACACCGTACCTATAGCAGCGAAAGACTTTATCAAATACACGAGGAAAATGATGTACTGCTATCCCCTGGATTAACGTGCATATACCGTATTCTGCGGCATGACGCGCGACGATTGAAGAGCAGCAGCGCCGCCGCCGCCGCATCGTTATAATAGCTGTGTGGATCGCACAAAACATCGAATTAATTCCGATACTTCACGCGGTTGTATGCACGTACATGGTCGAGTGCGTTTGACCTCGTCATCGGACTATATGTACTCTATATAATTCGTAGTGCAAATAGAAAATCTCGAAAGGCCATTATAACTATGAAAATCAGCGTGAAAACTATTTTCCGCTGACACCGACGTGCTGCTGCTGCTGCTGCTCGATGGACGCGTATTGTTATAAATGGTGATTATAATCCTCGTGCTCGGTGCTCTCTGTCTACCCAAAAGAGACAAAAGCTCGAGTTTGGCATGACAATCCGACGACGACTTTTTATTATCATTATTATTATTATTATTATTATATGCACGTCTAACGCAGCAGCTCTTCTTCGGTGATTTCTCGCGGTGCAGCAGCTCGACGAACATCTCCCCCCCTCGACGTGAGATATACACTGCGTCGTCGTCGTCGTCGTGCTCGAAGGCAGGGTCTCTCTCTCTCTCTCTCTCTCTCTCTGAGGGCCATATCCTCATTTATGCGCGAGCGCTATGCCACCAATTTGCCAATCGAGCCAATCATGCGTTGTACCAGAGGCTGCGAGATCGCATTAACCTTGTCGACCTATTCAGATGTATATATATCTCTCTCGCTCTCTCTATCTCTCGTGTATGCGCGAGAGACAAACTCTTCGCGTTAGTGGACCCCCCGCTTGAAACTACTACTACTACTACTACTGCTACTAGTACTACAAGCGATGTAAACGAGCGCCAGCTGCGGGTCTCGTTTCATTGGACGGTTCCTGCACTCCTTACACACAGAGAGAGATATCAAGAAGGGCATGTATCTATAATATATATCTAGGTGTGTGTCAACCAGCGAAACGAGCTTTTGACTTTGTCGCGCCGAGCTTTCGGCGCAATTTGCAGAGTACACCACCGCGCGAGAAAGTCGAAATATTCTTGATTAAAACAAGTTTTATATATATACGTATAACAGCGAGATAGCGAGATAAGCCAATTTTTTTCACGCGCACTCGAATCGTTAAAATTTTCCGTACATTTATCGATCGAGCGGGCGCGCAAGCACGGTTCGTTCAACTGCTACAGCGAACGAAATTAAATGGCACTATGGAGTTTCTATCTCACGGTTAATTATTCTACGCGCAGTTAAAATGCCAAGTGGGCTGAAAGGTGTTTGATGTTTATATATATTATATACCTATATGTATAGATGTTATGTACATCCTTCGCTCTCGGCAGCAGAAGCAGCAGCAGCAGCAGCTAAACTCCTTATATCCTTGATACTCGTTTTCTCAAGTAGGAGCTGCTGGTGTATGTATGTATGTATGTACGGGGTGAGTGGGTGGGGGCGGGCGCCCACGCGAGAGTATACGGGAGAAATAGCTCAGAGATCTCCGGTAGAGATATATAAGCTTCTCGAGCTAGTAGTGCGCGCAGGGCTCAAACTTCAAAGTTAAGCTTCACGTACACAGTCGTACATTATATACGTAGAGAGAGAGAGAGATGAAGTAAACGACGTTAAAAGCAAGTGTGCATACGCGCATCTTCCCTTCTTTAAGCAGTCGGAATTTGCACGAGATCCACGCGAGAGTATATACCCCCTCCCCCTGAAGGAATTGCTAGCGCAGTTGTTGCCGTGTATATATATTTTACCTATGCTTGTTCGAAGCTCGTATAAATAGTACAAAGGAACACGTATATACGCGGACTGTCTTTTGCTTGCGCAAATATTCATTCGACCTTCTAAATTTCGAGAGTTGTAGGTTTGAAGATATAGTTTGATACCCGTATGTGTCGAGAGCTACTCGGGCTTTGATCGAGAGGAAAGAAGCGCATAAAAAACCATTTAAATATATGTTTTACAAAATGGAACAAAAGAAAAAATGTTAAATGCCTTTAAATACGTGAGAAATGACGTAATTTTGTAATTCTTTGTCACTCGACTAGCTGTTTGGTTTCGATTGCCTTTGACGATCGAGTCGTCGTCGGACGATTAATTTAAACATTCTTCTCTCTCCGTCAAAGAGCAGCAGTGCACGGCAGAATCTTCTGTCGGGACCGGAACTTATTTCTTTTTTTATTTTAATCGATCGTATCTTTTTTGACATCGATCGAAATGTTATACATGCGGGACGGTACATCTCTATTCGGCGAGCACTTCAAATAAAAAAGCGTTTAGCGGTACGGAACGTAAAATACGATCGTCGCGATGATGTGTATAAAAAAGAAAAAGTTTCAAATGCAGATTCCGACTTCAAAGTAATATTTTTCCGCTTTGATCACGCTGAGCAAATTTGAGCTTTCGATGTGTATAGATATACATAACTAAAGACGCGAGGAATATTTTTTTTTTGCTCATGCTAACATTTCGAAATGAGAAAAAAAAAATATATTCAAAGTTTCTAAATGAGCTTTTCGATAAATATTTATAGCTTATTTAGCAGCGTCGTGCGACATTGTTTTGTTGTATACATGTTCATTGTCGACACTTTAACGCGCAACTTGCAAAAGCTCGCGTTGCGCCGCGCGCGCGAACTCGAGTTGTCGTGACGTCGCTCTCTCGTCTTTACAACGACGCGACAAAACATCGGATCGGAAACGCGAGACACGCGCGTTATCGAGTTGACGCGGCGCGGATAAAGTTTCAAAGTGTGTGCTGCGCTCGCGATTCATCGAACGGTAGAAGCGAATGAGAAATAATGAAATATATACGTATAAAATACAAAAGCAAAAATTATGAACCAATTGGCCGTAGGCGTTGATCAAGCACAAGGGTGTGTCGGTGGCGCTCATCGCAGAATCAACGGCACGATCCGCACAACGCGTATATAGCCACTACAATCGACACCTCTCACTGCATCGTCGTATCGCATAAAAAAACAACCAATCACTGTATAAAAATAATCACTCGCGAATCATGGATCTATATACACGAGCTCGCACGACGAGTCGAGATGTCGAACGCGCTTTCGAGCAGCAACGAGCTTGGAAAGTGAATATTATATCATACACGCGACGATGATAGCCCGTACTAGCGCACGAACGAGGTGAATATATATAGCGATGATGTGGCCCACGCCATCCGTTCTATCTACGCCGTTACACGATCCTAGCCTGATCGCTACGTGTCGGCCCATGCGATGATGCACTCTATAGACAGCCCCGCCGCCGTTTATATACGAATACACGCAGTTATATGTACGTGTGACACCATCTGGCCTGGTGTATATAATACGCACGCTGCGCTTGGTTAAATGTACGAAGAGCATATGGAAAATAGGTGAATTTGTTTGTGCTTCGTACATATATATAATACGCGATGTGCGCTGCAGCAGCGCCGCTGTTCTCTATATAAGCGTGCCCTAGAAAAGTATAATATAAAGCAGAAACGCACTAACCAGCGGCAGCTATTTTAATGGAGCTTATCGCACTGCGTTCTCTCTATGTTGCGTGTATTATATGTGTGCGTGTGCTTACAAGTGCGCTTTAGTCGTCGCGCGTTTGTGCAAACTCGAAGATTAGAATCACGACGTCAACGCTCGTAACGACGACGACGACGAGTATAAGCTTTTGCTCAGCTCGCAGCTAAATCTTGTAATAATTCAGCGCTGCAGCGAGAGCTAATTAATAATTACAACGACATCAAAATTCTCCCGCATCTCGTCTTCCTCTTCTCGCGTGTATATCGTATGTGTATATAACGCGTACACCTAACCCGCTCTGTACATAATGTATATATTCTTGCGAAGCGTGGGGTGTTCGTCTCTCTCTGCGTAAGATTCTCTCTCTAGCTGGCAAATCTCCGCGTTGAAGCAAATTGTAAACTCGCAGCGCGTTACGTCATATCACATATAGACTACTACTACTACTCCGACGTACAGCTGTACAGAGTAATATACTCGCGTGGCGCAGTTTGTGCGTTGAAAACGTTGTTGTTGTTGTTCGATGCGTGCTAGCAGCAACAGCAGCTGCAATGTAGTAGCACTGTAGCACTGTCATACACAGATATCGCGAGCAGCGAGCTCCCGCGCGCGAACAATCGGGGCAGAATGATTCGATCCGACTCGAGCGCGATGTTTCCGCGCGGAATATCATCATCATACTCGCGGCTACGAACTTCCCGCTTTCTTGGGATAAAAAGTTTTTCATTTCCAACTCTCTCGATGTTGTATCTCTCTCGTAAAGGGAGTGACGCATTTTGTTGAAATTTAACGAAACGTCGGACAAGAATAAACGATCGCGCTCTCGTGTATATGCATGGGCGAGGTAATATAATGTATACACGACGTGTATAACAGCTTGAATGGAAAGCGCAAGAGAGCATCGTAACGAACGCACGACTAAATGTTTCATAAATTTCGGCTGTCTGCCAAAATTTCGCGCCTCGAGCCCGTGTACGACGGACGACGACGACGACGACGAAGCGAGCAAGACCAAGGTGAGAGATAGACAAGCGAGACGAATATGTATATTTACGCGAGATGAGAAAATTTCAAGAAGCGCGCGAAAGCCGCCGCCGCCGCCGTCGAGTAATAAAATAGAATTTTCGCCTTTTAGAGTCGACATTGTTCGCGTTTATATGTATCTAAAGCTCGACGACTATAACACAGAGAGGGAAAGAGGGAGAGTGCAGCACGCAGGATTAGGTTTGTTTAAGCGTTCGCTGTGCCGCGCGCTCTTGTTGCTCGCAGCTAGCTCCGGGCTCGTCTCTCCTTCTCCTCTTTCCGCATGGAGTACTTGGGTATACACACAGATACGCAGACACACATACTTAGCTAAGAGGGATTTGTGTGGAGCTATACGAGAGAGAGAGAGAGAGAGAGAGAGGTAGACGACGAGGGAAGACAGATAAATTTATGCGTGAACAGTGTCAACATTAACGAGTATACGCGAGCGAGTGTGTATGCGTGTGCGTCAAATACATCCACGCACTTGTGTGAGTGAGCTTGAATATAACACACGCATACACAGGGACGTGGTATTATATGTACGTATACGTAAGAGAGCGTGCGAGCTAACTCAAGGGCTACATCGCACGCCTATATAAACGCTAAGCTGCAGCGCACCACAGAAGCGGCGGCGGCACACACATATATACGATATAATCGTATCGCATGCGCAGCGGCTTGTGTGCAGGCTAGCTGCTGCTGCTGCTGCTGCTGCTGCTGCTGCTGTGCACACGACTGTATGCGTTTTGCAATCTTCGCGAGAGCAGCAGCAACAGCAGCAACGAGGCATATAGTATATAGAATCCGGAAGGTGTTTGGTTGCTAAACAAGTACTAGCTACCTATATGGCTGGGCTATGGTATAGTACAACGAAGCTTGTTTACCCCGAATTAAGAGGAGCCCAGAAGCAGCAGTGGAGACGAGGCTTTTGTATAATAGGCAGCGCCGCCGAGCTCCGATGCTGTTTGCGTGGGTATCCCTTATACACCCCGATATTATACGTTTTGGGATTATACGAAAGTTTATTAATTTAATGCGTGAGAAGAGAAATGAGCTTTTTTCCTAAAAGCTCGATATAGCGAGCTCTTATTTTACCAAGGACATCGTTCGATCGGAATTTTAAATCCGAATGTTTGATGTCTCGCGCGTGTAGAGAGGGACAGTATACGCGATATTCGCAAAGCAAAAGCGAAAAAGATGAACTGCCAAAGCAATCTCAGCGTATACACACACGCACGCATGTGCATGCTGCAGCCATATACGTGTGTGTTATTGTAAATATACAATAGAGAAGAAACGAGGCTTATACATTATATGACATAGAAGAAAGAGAAAAAGAAGCGAGAGAGAGAGAGAGAGAGTACATTCAATCGGCAGAGATAAAAAGGACCTCTTGCTCGTCGATATAATACATCGGCACAGCGTCCGTCACCTCCACCCCCGCTGCCTCGTGCTGATGTGGCTGCTGCTGTTGCTGCTCCATATTCATCTCCTCCTCCTCCTCCTCCTCTTCTTCCTCTTCTAACTTGCGCTCTTTATTTTCTTCCATTCACTCATTTATTATATCGTCGCGTATGTGTGTGTGCGTATGCTTTTATAACGTTTACTTGCGTGTGTGTGTGTGTGTGCGTATACTGCCCTGCGAACCATTATACATACATATATAATAACATGATATGAGAATTGTCTCGATCGCTCCGTGCGTGCCTCTCTCTCTTTCTCTCTCTCGTGCGCCCGAGTCCCCGAGTATTATATCGCGCGTACGTGATTTTCCTCCGCCCGGAGAGCAGTATGTGCCCGAACAAAGATCGAGCTTACGAGCTTTTTTTTTCTCTCTACTTTATTTTCTTATAACCTTTCTCGCTCTCTCTCTTGTATATACGTACGCGGCCGTGTGTGCGAGCCGTTTTATTTCCGTTTTGTTATTACCCCCCATATGGCTTCAATTTTTAATGACGTTATATGTACTATATATATACGAGTGCGCGCACGTCCAAGTGCAATTCTTCTTTTCTTTTTCCTTTTTTTTTTGTAATTTATTGGCACTCGATCGATCGGTTATTTTTATGTATTACGTTTATTCGTTTGTTTTCCTTATTTTCTTATTTTTATGTTGCTGTACCAACACATAGTGGCTGTGCTCTCACGAATTCGCGATGAAAACGCATCGACGCACGCGGCGGGCTCACGGCGAACCAGTGTGTTTTAGGAAATATGCCAAAATCGTTTTTCACTCTTTCTCTCTAAACTCGTGTGCGCGCACAATCGTTACAAGGTTACGTTGCGTACGAGAATAAAATATTTTGCCGAACTCGAGCGATACACGCGAACAACATCGAAACGAAGTCGAACGCGACGTCCGAGTTATTTTTATTATTTGTTTATTTCCGATTGTTAATACAAATGATCGTTAGTGTTTTAAAGACATCGAGGCCCCAAAAAAAGCTCGTACAAGTGAGAAATGTTATTAACGGGTTACAACGTAAAATAAAAAAACGAAGCTTGTGCACTTTTGAAGTTAACGAGTTAACGATTATCACGGTGTTACATCAAGGCAATCTACACACGGTACACACACAGCAGCAACGGCCAGACAATTGCCAATTTTCACTCACCCACTTTTTCACCCGGAATTATAATAAAATCGATGCGAGAATCGACGCACAAAATTATACTTATTTCGGCACTTGTATGCGCGCACTGCAACTATAACCGGGTTACAATATTAAAATCCACCGACGCGGGTGCTCACGACTACCGACCAACCGAGCTCGGAGCCACTGTATACATCGAGAGCTACTATACTACCGCTCGAGAGAACACCTTATAGGAGCTGCTGCTGTTGCTGCTGCTGTTGCCTCTCGGTGCACTCGCTCTTTTTTTTTCGCAGCTTCCTCCTCCACTCACTTTCTCCTCTTCTCTCTCTCTCTCTATCTCTCGCGATGTACACTATATTCTCTTGCGGACTTTTGGTCATAGAATAAAAGCGGGACGAGAGAGACTGTGCGAGAGACGAGCGGTCTATTGCGCGCGAGGGATCGAGCTGCAGCAACGGCGGCGGCGACGACGACGAGGCTATATAGTAGTCAACGGCCCACGCCATCCGTTTCATCGGGCGAGCTGCTGCTGCTGCTGCAACGGTGGCTAACTATATACTTTATACTACTTGCTGCAGCGACAGCACACACATACACACGGGCTATACGTAAGATATAGATGTATACAATATATAATACGCGCACACGTTGATGCCGGGAGCAAAGCAGAGAGTTTATACCGTGTCGCGGACGTGCTACCGATACATAATGGGCCGACTTCGTACGTTATATATTACACGGCACATCTATATACATGAGAGA